ATACCCTTAACCTTATCCTAATCCTTACCCTTACCCCTATATCCTTCTGTGAGCAAAACCAAATCATGGCCGGCCACTTCCTGCCCATCAGGTCCGCAGAAGTCACAAAAGGGCACTCTGAAAGGACACTGAAAGGAATGCAGCCCATGAGGCTCCGGCTTTCCGCCGCTGTTTGCGTAAACTACGCCCTCACATGGCGTGTGTCCGCGCAGTCAGGTCAAATGTGTGCTGCATGTGACGCATCCATGCACTCTGTGACGTAATCGTCTTAACTGCCAGTGGCATAGCAATTCGCCATGCCTTGATTGAGGCATCAGGGCATGTGGTGCTGACCATAGCTGCACGCTCATAGCTTCTCATGGCATGCTTAAAGTATGCTCATAGCTGCTCATAGAAAGCTCATAGTATGTTCAACGCTGTCCTTGGATTTTATGCCTCACCGCATGCTGCAGCGTTGAAATGAAGACTTCAGCCATGGCTTCTCGCTCCAACAAGCGGCGTGTGGATGACATCTTTCTGGGTGCCGCATAGATGCAACGCATAATGCAACGCTCCCTGTGGCAGCAGCCGAGGTGTTCGCGAGATACCCTTAACCTTATCCTAATCCTTACCCTTACCCCTATATCCTTCTGTGAGCAAAACCAAAGTTCACCAACAGCGGCGTGTGGATGACATCTTTCTGGGTGCAGGAGTAAATGGTTCGTCTGTCGGGTTCTGGCTGTGGCGGGCATAAGCTTGATGAGTTCGAATATGCCGTGAGGCTGTAACCCAGGGCAGTGGGCTGCCGCCCTGCTGGCAGCTGCGGCCAGTGCTACAGTGGCGGCTTGACGAACGGCCGGGAGAGTATCAAGTCTCTACCAGAACTCTCGGGCTTTCTTCCACTTCAGGTTCTGCTATTGGAGCACCATCTTCATCTGCATCGCATGTTGCTATGGCCTGTGGTGAGGAGCCAGCAGTGTACTGGCTGTCACATCTAGCCGAAGACCCAGCGTAATGTTCATATCTACACCTCACTCAGGAATCTTTTCAATCCTATGGCCGTGAGACGATAAAGGTGTGTGTGTGGGGGGGGGGGGGGGGGAATGAAATGTGCATGTTATTCTATTGACACGCATTATTACTACATAAGGCCTCAATGACTCGAGTCTTTTCCAATTTCTCACGAGGTTTCCGGCAACAACGAGACCGGTGTCAGCACTGACACGTATATTCAAACAAAGGTCTAACGTTCCAAACTTGCAAGAACGGCATGTCCTGCGTTTGGGACGACGTCTTCACCATCTATGCACATTTCACCAAACGAGTCAAAGGTCAACGTGTGACATGCGCGGGTGCCTTACACCAAATGTGTCGTTGTGCACATGGTGTATTAACCCGCGCCCGGGTGGCCGGTTCCATGCCCTTTGCTCGTGTAGTGGTCAATTTGACTGACCCCCTAAGATCTCAAGCGTTAAGGCAGCTAGAGACAACAAAGTTACGGGGTGAGCTGGTCTGTACATGAAGTCACTTGTATCACAATTTCAGGTTTCAAGGTCATGATCATGAGGTGAAATAAAATCAAACAACGTCAAAGTCCAGGTTGGTGTCTCAAGTGCCCTCAAGCCTCCTCATGCAACCGCCGTGAAGCTATATGCTTGTTCTAAACAAAAGGTCAATGTTGTTCAGTAAGGTAAGTGACCTTTTTGGACCTTCATAAGGTCAAGTTGACCAAAGGACTGCAACATTGTTCCTAATTTACCATCCGAATAAGCGCCGATTACGCTAGGGGCATGTTCCTTAAAAAATGTTGATTTGTGTCATTTCAGTCAAAGTCAATGACCTATTCTGGTCTATTCAGATCATGAAGCACATATGTCGTGCTCCCTGTCACAAATGGATTCCAAAGCGCTCAGAATAAGCACCAAAAAACTTTCCCATAAAGCAATGTCTCGGGTAAAAAGCAGATTAGTTTCGCCCTCGTCCTGACCTCCATACCTGACCCTAGGTCAATGTAATTTGTTGTGATTCTAAACTGAGTTGGTGTATGTTCTAAGAACCCATCTCAGAGGTGTATGTTTTTGCCTACACTCTATTGTCATACCAGATTGAAAGATTCTCTTGAATTGGCCCTCACTGACAGCTAAGGCCTGAATTTGATCTGTCAAAGGTCAGCAAACTTACAAGGTACATCTAAATGTTTGTGTCAAAACATCCGCTATTCATTCTGTTATAGCTATGCAAAGCTTGGAAAAAAATCCGGAAAAAAATATGGAAAAGCTATTAAAAAACTTTCGGGGCCAAATTGCCCTCCACGCGAGCGCATGTTAAGTGAGAGCGAGGAGGAGACGGCAAGGTTGGATGATGGGGTCACGCCTCTAGATCCTTTGTTAGGTCCAACACCAGCCATTTGTGAGGTCCAACACCAGTCATTTGTGAGGTCCAACACCAGCCATTTGTGAGGTCCAACACCAGATGCATAACCACAGAAACGACAAACTGAGCTGCCAATGGAGTTACAGGCGACTCAGTCTATCTGATTGAGAGCTAAAATAGGCAAGGTGCTGCACATCTACATCATGTACTTTTTTCAGTGGCATGGATCGCTGACGTTTGACACTGCTTGACTTTTTGACACTGTTGCGTTTGTGTGGGCAGGCTCTGTCTGAGTGGCTGCTGCGTTGTTCGTGCCGTTAGATTTTGAAATGACTCTCTTCAGAGGCGATACGTCGTGATCTATGTCTGGAGTCATCGTTTGCTGCAATATGCGCAGATTCGGCAAATTTTGTGACAGCACCGCAGCCATTGTCATTGACTAAGAGCATTTCGATCCTCTGCGCACTGATCAAAAGACTGCTTCATGGCAAGAATGTTTTGGCGTATGGCTCACAGCTGAGCTGCCATGATACAACGCTGTACGAGGGTAACATTCATGAAGGGGTGTGGAAGCTTTGCTTTGTTTACGCATGGTGCGTATGAACACGAGGCTTTTTAATGTAACCTGCCAAAGAGAACACTTTGCAACTCTTCGCCCTTCAATTGCCATTAAAAATTGGTTAAAATGCGTTAGGTGCGCGTTTTTTTCGATTCGGAGTAAAGATAGCTGCGTGCATCTTAAAACACCACACGAGTTGTACCGCTTTGCACATCTGATGTTTCCCGGCCTTTTTACCGCGCGGAATTGCCAAGGGTTTCACGAGTAGTGCAATGCTATGACATCGCCGACTCAGACCAAGCTGACGCTTTTTGATCGATTGCGAGCTGATCTTTCCATACTAGTCGAGGCAAAGAATGCACTGACTCTACATTGGTTCTAGAACTCG